ATGTCAGAACAGGGTTTAGGAGAGATGACAAAAAGACTAAATTTACTAAGAGCTACAAAGGACAGGAAATTGTGGAGAGCCATATTTGCCAACATTCTAAAGGAACACTACACATAGAAGAAGAAACTAAGTAAATGGATGTCAGAACAGGGTTTAGGAGAGATGACAAAAAGACTAAATTTACTAAGAGCTACAAAGGACAGGAAATTGTGGAGAGCCATAATTGCCAACATTCTAAAGGAACACTACACATAGAAGAAGAAACTAAGTAAATGGATGTCAGAACAGGGTTTAGGAGAGATGACAAAAAGACTAAATTTACTAAGAGCTACAAAGGACAGGAAATTGTGGGAGAGCCATAATTGCCAACATTCTAAAGGAACACTACACATAGAAGAAGAAACTAAGTAAATGGATGTCAGAACAGGGTTTAGGAGAGATGACAAAAGACTAAATTTACTAAGAGCTACAAAGGACAGGAAATTGTGGAGAGCCATAATTGCCAACATTCTAAAGGAACACTACACATAGAAGAAGAAACTAAGTAAATGGATGTCAGAACAGGGTTTAGGAGAGATGACAAAAGACTAAATTTACTAAGAGCTACAAAGGACAGGAAATTGTGGAGAGCCATAATTGCCAACATTCTAAAGGAACACTACACATAGAAGAAGAAACTAAGTAAATGGATGGCAGAACAGGGTTTAGGAGAGATGACAAAAAGACTAAATTTACTAAGAGCTACAAAGGACAGGAAATTGTGGAGAGCCATAATTGCCAACATTCTAAAGGAACACTACACATAGAAGAAGAAACTAAGTAAATGGATGGCAGAACAGGGTCCACAAGAGATAACAAAAAGACAAAATTTATGAAGAGTTACAACGGAAACTGTTTAATTTATTTGTTTAAACATTGCATCCATTTTTAAAAAAAAAGTTTAAACAAATAAATTAAAAAAATCAGTTTTTCTTTGTTTACATTAGGATGCAAACAGAGCAGTATGTATATTTCGTGAATTGGCAGAAATGTGTGTTCAAAAGCACTATTCAGGCTTTGTTTGATCAGGATGTTCAACATAGCAAAGTTGGTCTAAGGCATGTCAGATCCAATGACAGTTTCCCCCAGGGGATGCAAGTTTGAATCCTGCTGGTGGACGCATATTTTTCTGACAAGATTTCTTAAATAGCCAGATCGGCAGATGTAAATAAATATACTGTTTAATAAATAAATAAAAACAGGGCATTTACGCAAATATGAGTATCCATTTAAAAAAAATAATGTTTAAACAAATAGATTTAAAAAATCAGTTAGATCTAATCCATTTGCAATAAAAAAAATTGTCTGTGTTTACGTTAGGATCTAAACAGAGCAGATATGTATAGTTTGAGAATTGAGTAAAATGTGTGTACAAAAGACAAATAAATTAAAAAATCTGCCGGATTTAATCCATTACCTAAGAAAGGAAATTGTGGAGAGCCATGATCACCAATGTCCTGATCAAACATGGTACATAGAAGATAGATGAAGCTGACATAAGCACCAATGCTGTATTGATGAAAATATTTCTTATATACAGTCTCATTTTATTAGGATAAAAAATTACTGGAAAAAAAAAAAAAATTTAAATAATAATCTCATGTATAATGCAATCCCTGGGCTTCCATCTTTAATTCTGGGTTGAATACTTCTGTTTTTATTGTTCTTATATAAATACGACAGTTTTCATGTATCACTGAATTCACTCTATCTTGATTAGACAGACTTTTCTTTTCGCTTTGGTCAGGAGATGCACAAACAATGATTTTATAACAAACAAGAATGTCCTTTCTCTTTCTTTTTTTCATTAATATTAAACAGAAGAATATACTTTGTACCAGCATCTGTAATACATGAATGATGGAGGAGATATAAACCGATAAAAAAATTATGATTTATAAAATAGGAGAGATATTGGAGAAAGAGTAGTGATTTCTCATTATACATTAATTCCTGACATGACTAAAAAGGGACACAGTAGTCATTTTATTACTACTGCTTATGAAAGCAGATATTTACCCCTTCCTATTCACAGAAGACAAGATTAACACTGATCTGGCATCTTGACTTCAGTCACTTTCCCACTACCGTAACATAGCTTCCCTCTGAATTTTCTATAAATATTTTCATGGTAATTGTTCTGATGAGCTTTCCTCTTGGATATTTTTGATTTTGAAGCACAGTAATGGTCTAGTAGTTAAGTTTCATCATTTTACAATTGAATTTGCAAAATTTTTTTTTTTTAAGCGTTTCACCCCAAGCAAGGCGGGAAGCCACTAGGACACAAGGGGTTACAGATGATTTGGAGCAAGATCAGATAGGAATGATAGCGGAAAGAATGAGGAGAAGGATAATGGATAGATCAAGGCAACTGGAGATGTTGATTGACATTACATTTGAATAGTTGGAGATTATAGCTCTCAGGGAAACTGGAATAGGGAAAGGAGTTCCACAGGCAAGAAGTGCGAGACATGAAGCTATTGGAGTGGAAGAGATGGCTACATTTAATAGTTTCTACAGTGAAAGGGTGAGAGTAGGATGCCAGCCTCATAGGGCACTTGAATTCATGAAGTCTGGGAACCAGTGAATGCAGCTCCTCGGAGCAATTACCATGAAAGTATTTGTAAAAAAGACAGAGAGAGGTGACGGCACTTTGATTTTCAATCATTATCAACTGTCTTAATTATTCTCCTATTTTTTCTCGCTCCTTAATAATGCATTATCAACCATCATCTTCTCTCTCCTTGAATGTAGTTCTTTTATTGACCTCTTTAATTAATAATTTTTTTTTTCTCAAACTCTTTCACTCTCTGTAACACCTTCTGTCTTAATGGCTTTATTGCCTTGCTTGGGGTGAAATAATTAAAAACAAAGTTGAAATTAGTCAAAACTAAATTCCTATGACAACAAAGTTAAAATAAAATAAAAAATTCACCTAAACATAAATAACATTTTTTCTGGTAAATATAGTTTGTCCTTGTAAAATAAAATTCTTTTTCAGGTTAATTGGCAACAGATATTGAAAACAATTTTTTTAAATTGTCTATATATATATATATATATATATATAAATCAACTTGATGCCTTTCACATGCGCTGTCTTATTATTAAAGCTTCAGCAGAGAATGAAATTCTGGTATTTTTATTTTCATGTTTAATTTTCATTGGTTAATCAGGATTCACATGCATTTGACTTGTTGAACAACATTAGTATAATTTATAGTATTTCAAATTCAAGGAGAGACAACATCTTTTCAAAGTTCCAAGAAATTAATGGATTCCAAGCCTGACCGAAAAACTGTAAATATTGTTTTATTAATGTAAGTGTATCATAAATCTAGTTTCTTTAAGTGGGATTCAGATGATAATATATATTCATAACTGTGTGTGTGTGTATATATATATATATATATATATATATATATATGTGTGTGTGTGTCTGTCTAGGAGACATTATGTTTGGTGATTGTCCACATGTTGATTTGGGAATGTTTTTACATAAACACCATGTGATTTAGATAAACATATGTTAGATTATTTATATAAATTATACATCAGAACAACTCCATCTTGTTTGAAATTTGAAGTTGGATCAATCAGCAATACTTCTGGGCTCAAAACTATTATGCAAAATATATTAGAAAGCAACAACATTTTAAAAACAAATAGCAAGAAAAGATAATATGACAAATGTAATAATATTATTAAAGACTTAAGTTACTTTGAAAAATTAAATCAATATAAATGTCCTCAATGTCATCAAATCCTGAGGGTTGGGGAAAACCTGAATTAATAAAGTTTGTTTAATTGCCTACAGAAATGTTTTTGTCAACTCCATTTAATTTGTACAAATGGTTTCGTGGGAAGCAGTTATATCTCTGATGTCATCCGACAAATATATTTGGGTTTCTCATTTTCAGGTAAAGAAAAAAACAGAGAAAAAAGTATGTTTAGAATATAAATGCCCTTAACAAACTCAAGGATTAATGCTGTGATAAAAACAACAAAGATTGGGATATTAGTCCAAGAGAATAATTAAATAATAAAAATGCCCCATCACAGAAAAAAATTTAGTAGAATATAAAAAGATCAGGATATTAGTCTAAAAGAATAAATTAGTATAAATGATACTTCATTATAAACCACTTCCCGATGTGAAAATATTCAGTATTCATTGACTGAACAGCCAGTTCCACTTGTTTTCTAGGAAAATATTTTTTCTCAAGTCCAGGAACCATTATGGCTCTTTCCAGTATTGATGAGGGCTTTGTTGCTAACCTTTTAAGTGGAGTAGTATGGAACATCAAGATCATGATTATATCATTTTCTCTTTGAGTTACATGTGCTATCCATTTTAGTTGTTGCTGCTGTTGAAAGTCCTTAAGTGATGTGTTTTCTATTATATGGTACTATTCTTTGTTTGTGATTCTATAGCGCCAGCCCACTAGGTTTCAAGAAGGATGGTTCTTAAGGCATACATGTTTCATTCACTTGAAGGCATTTTTAACCACTGATCTGAGAAAGTGGTTGGATATAGCAGACAATTTTAATTTTTTTCAATCATTTCACCCTAAGCAAGGCAATAAAGCCACTAAGAGGATAGGGGTTACTGAGTGTGAGAGAATATGAGAAAAAAAAATATTATTAAGGAAAGAGAACAATGAGAGAACAGGAATTTATGAATGAGTTTAGTGTTGCGTATGACATCAACATGAAAGTCACAAAGTAATTTAAAAACTGAAGGAGTTTAGGTTAATGTCTGGGTTTGTGGCAATTTGCAGTATTGTACAAAACTATGTTCTATAACTGAACAGTAGCCATGTTGTATCGACAGAAAACAGTGAAATGAAGAAGAAGTAGATTAATTTCTTTTCTAAGGGTATTTGCACATTGGAACTGAAACTTGGCTCTCCAATTAACAATTCCAAGCCATTATTCATTACACCATCAACACACCCAAGCTTACAGCAACTGGTAATCCCAAGTAGTCATCCATCTAGGTACTGACTAGGCTCAACATTGCTTAACTTCAGTGATCGTACAATGCCAGGTAGTTTCAAAATGATATGGTCATAAGCCAGAAAAATGTCTAAATAAAAAAAAAACATAGATAAGGATGCTAGTGAAGAAAAATCAATAAATAGTAACAATAGCTACTATTTCGGAGGATGCGAGTTGAAAAAGAAAATTTCAGAAAAAATAGTGGAAAGAATCAAAAACAAAGATGCTAGGCTAAAAGACTCACAAAATAAGCTCCAGTTTCAGGAAAGCCAGGATAGTAAGAAGTAGAAATGAATCTAAAAAAATAAAATATATATATATATATATATATATAAATTGGGATGCTGAAATTGAATCAGACATTTGCCAGTAAGCCGGACACACAGATGGACTCTGTTTCAGATGTCTTAGATTGAGAAAGATATTTTTCCAATAACCGGAATCTAAAATTTGTGTGCAACACAAATTGGAGCACAGCACAATGGTCCTAATAAGTTGACACAATGCATAATCAATGAACATTGTTTATGCAATTTTTGTCTTCCAAACAAGACGGATAGTTACAAGTTCAAACAAAAAGGAGGTGCATCACACAAACCATTGTTTATTACTGTAATTTTATGCAAACATACAATATATATATATATATATATAAGCAAGGTACTGAAATATATATGCATATGTGTGTGTGTGTGTGTGTGTGTGTGTGTGTATATATATATATATATATATATATATATATTTTATATCTGTGTATAAAGTGTGTGTCTGTGTGTATATATATATATATATATATATATACACACACACACACACTTAAATACAAAATATATAAAAAAATTTCAGTTCTTTTTACTCTCTCTCTCTCTCTCTATATATATATATATATACACACACACACACACACACACACAAAGAGTAAAAAGAACTGAATTTTTTTTTTAAATATATTTTTACTATTTTTGAGTAAGGCGTTTGGTATTGAGGTCAAAATTGAGGATAAACTGCCCAAGTTATTGTTGAAGTACTCTCAATCATATCAGTCATTTTCAAGAATCAATGTGGTGTCTGTGTGGTAGGCAGAATTCTTTTGTCGATATCCCAGTATTCTTAGAGCAAGCTTAAAGTTCCAAAATAACACCCAATGCAAAGAAATTCTTAAAACAGCTCACATTATATAAGACAATATCTTGCAGTGCATATGATGTGTGCAATATATACGTAAAAAAAAAAAAAAATTGCATTTTTTTTGGTGTGGATTCACTCCCAATGACAATTACACATAATGTCTTCATAGACTACTTCAAACATTGGTTCTTGAAAATGACAGATGCTCTAAGCTACTTTAACAAAAACACACACGATATTCAGGTAATTTATGCAGAATTTTTTATTAAAATACACAATATCTTATTCAAAAATAGGAAAAATATAATTTCAGATCATGTTGGTTATTTTTAATCAAATATATATAAATATATGTGTGTGTGTTTGTTTTATATATATATATATATATATATATATATATATATATATATATATATTTATTTATGTTATGAAGAACTTGGTAATCCGTATGGGGAATACCAAGGAGGATGAAATCCTGAGAGCTCAATGTAAATCCAGAGCTAATATTTTAAGAAAAACAGACCACTTTAAGGTACCATTATAAAAATTTATTTCAGAGAGCCCTTTTAAAGGATTGATGATCATTTAAAAGGGCACTTTGAAAAATGTTCATTTAATTTTTTAAAGTGGTCTGTTTTTCTTTAATATATATATATATATATATATATATATATATATATATATATAAACTAAAAGTAGAGATTGCCAACCATACTATTTTGGTTTCAACCTTTCAGTATCCTCAGGTAGTAACTATCGTCTGAGGATATGAATGGTTGAAACCAAGTTAGCATGACTGGCTGATCTAATTTTTTAAAATCTAAAATCTCTGCATGTTAAATTAAATTTTTTATTTTATTTTCTTTATACGATTGACCACTTTTTTTATTCTACTGTTTCTAGGTCCTATTCAACTGTTTTATAATTCATATATATATATGTGTGTGTGTGTGTGTGTGTAAGCAAATACATGGATATAGATCCGACAGTAGGAAGAAAAATATACTGAAAAAACAAACAAAAATCATAATATGCTAATATTAAATCCTAATATCCTAATATTAAAACAGCATAATCGCATATTAGGATTTTTGTTTGTTATTTCAGTATATTTTTTTCATATATATATATATATATATATATATATATATATATATATATATATATGTGTGTGTGTGTGTGTATCTATATATATTCAGAGAGAGAAATATATATATATATATATATATATATATATATATATATATAGATATGTATTTTTAAAGATGTGATGGATTTTTATTTATAAATCTAACATATTTTATTACTTCCGCATATTTTAAGAGTTTGAGAAAGATTTGCATTTATAAGGCACGATTCAACTTTGCTTGATCAATGGCATAATCCATTACTGGGTGAGTTTAAAGTAAATTGGATCTGACGTTGCACTTTCCTGCAAATGAGGACGCTGGTTCAAATCATGCAAGGGGGCACATATTTTTCTTTAATAAGATTTCTAGAATATTCAACCTGGTAGGCCAAATTAAATATACAGTTTAATAAATAAACAAGGCATCTACCCAAATAAGGGCATCCCCTAAAAATAATATTTAAGTAATATATATATGTTTGACATACCAGACTCTATAGAGATGGTGTATTTCTCCTCCATAACATAAGTCCAAGAAACATAGACCAAATAAAAAAAGAAACTGATCAAATTTTTCAAAAATCATGACCTCAATATCACCCCTAAAGTGATCAAATTTCTCGATGTGACTTTGAATTTGAATAATGGTTATTACAAACCATATAGCTAAAACCTATATAACCATAGATACAGGGGAGGGGGGGACACTATTTTTGGGACACTTTGAAAAGTGTGCTTAAAGGTGTTTTTTACTTCCGAGAGCTTTTGTGTTGATGAGTAGGTAGTTCAGCAGTAACTGTCCATTAATGGTATGAACATTGATTGATGGGTTTGTCATTGGTTTCATGTTTTCTTTATTTTTACTTCAACTTAGGCGACTATATTTTTCAGACATGACACAAGTGATTTAGTCGTCAAACATCTACAATATGCAAATTTTCTGCAGGTAAATTGTATCTTGATCATTACATTTGAGTATCTTTACCATTCACTGCAAAAACGTATTAAAATCTTGAAGAAGAATGCATTCAAAAGAAGTCATCAGTTTGGTCCAAAAGAAGAGAGAAGACAGGCTCAGCATCCGAAAGATCGCCGCTGAGATGAAGCTACCGAAGTTAACAGTTGAATACATGATAAGTCCAGATTATGAGCGGAAGAAGAAGAGAGGACGGAAAAAAACAATTTCCAAGAGAACAGAAAGAAGAATGAAGAGGAGTGTTACGAGGTTCTTATGATCTGGAGAAGAGGTGACAGCGAAGAACGTAAAGGAGAAGTGTGAACTTGATGTCAGTGTTCAAACTGTACAAAGAAAGCTACACAAAATTGGACTTAAGTATGCTAAAATCAAGAAAAGAATTACACTAACGAGAAAACACAAAGAGGCAAGGCTGGGAAGCGACAAAGATGGATAACAAACCATGTCAACTTCAAGAAAGTGATATTTACTGATGAAAAACGTTTTAAGTTCGATGGACCTGACGGGTGGTGTACATGAATTAAAAGGTGAACCTGTTATTCTCAACAAGAGACAGATGGAGGAGGAGGAGTCATGGTTTGGGGTATGGTATTTCCGAATGGAAACTTGTGGCTCACGTGGTTAAAAGGATGTCAAAATAGCTTGAGCTACAGAGAACTTTTGGAAAAGAGAGCCCTACCACTCATAGAAAAAGAAATGGGAAGTAATTTTATTTTGCAGCAAGATAACTGCAGCATCCATGTGGCCAAATCAGTGACAAATTGGATGTGTGAAGCAAATATAACTACTCTGGAATGGCCTCCAAGAAGTCCAGACTTAAGTTTAATTGAAAACATATGGGAAATGCTTGCAGATCTTGTTTACGACGGGCCAGAAATAACCAGAGAGGCTGAACTGTGGCAGCGCATACAAGATGCTAAAAATAGACTGCTAGAAACACGAAGAGACGTTATTATCAATATGTACGAACATTATGAAGATAGACTGATAGAAGTCATTGAAAAAAAGGATGCTGCCATAAACTATTAGCATTGTTTCTGCAATGTCCGAAAAATACTGTCACCTGTGTAATGTGAAAATTTGTAAGAAAAATAAAAATACTTCTAATTTAAATTCTGCTTTTCCATTTGTAGTATTGAAACAGTTTTTAAATGTTATTGCTGTTACACTAAAACAGTACAGACTGCCTGTGCTACTTAAAACTTGAAAACATAAAGTGTCTGAAAAATAGCGTCACCCCTCCCCTGTATGTCAAAGAATTAAAGCACAAACTTTAAATTCTAGATAATTTACATAAATCAGTCCAAAAATCAATTCCAGCAATAAAGAAATATTTGATAATAATAAAATCAAATATATATAAAAGCTTTAGAATGAAGCAATGATAATGTAAATTTAGAGTATTTAGAAAAAAACAAAAAAGGTAAAAATAAACAAAAACATTGTAGCATAATATGGTTTGATCCACATTCTAAGTATAATGTTCAAATGAATATTGGAAGAATTTTTCTAAATTTATTTCCTAATCCCTTTAATCATTCACCAACACTGAAAAGATTTCAACAAAAATAACAAAGATCACTTATAACTGTTTTAGTAATATCAATAAATCTATATCCCAACATAACAAAATTATATTAAATAAATATATTTCCAACTCGGATGTTAACTTTAAAAATAAACCCAACTGGTGAAAAAATATGATCTGCCCCTTAAACAGCCAATGTATCATTGATAATATTGTATACCAAGCTCGCATACATTCCAGTAATGATATCAAAATTTATTTTGGTTCCACTGAAAATCCTTGGAAATTTTTTCTACTATCATTGAATGACTTT